TTTGAAATTTGTGCGCTTTTTGTCGTAGAAAGCGATGGGGATTTTTGTCAACAACAAATATTATTTACGTATGAAATTCATGTTTTTATAGAGTTTTACGAAGAATAGCATAAATGGAACTACTGAATGTCAAAAACTGATAACAGCTGATAAAAATGAAAAACGTGGATCATTTAAAATTTTAGATAAAAACTAGTGTATCGGGTAGAAACCCAATGCGGATATATTCACACCGTACCATCAAAAGTCTCATGGATAGATCGACACAGTTCAAAAGTTAAAACCAATTTATGTTATAATTATGTCAGCTACAAAAACACTTAGTTTGAAGTTTGTCACCCTCGGGAACACTATGAACCAGTATAGCTGATTTTGGTCCAAATCTCGGCCATACTTCACACTTATTTGAACCACATTTTCTCGTAAATGTTAAAATATCATTAAAAAGTAATTAATCCTGAATTATGTCACTATTTTGACAAGTGTTTTAAGATAAAGAATTTGTTTTTTGGTTTCCACAGTGAAGAGTATGAACAAAATTCAGATGGGGTAGTCGAAATTTTAGATTTCGATTTTTTTTAAGCTATGCATTACAAAAAGTAATATTGGTATGTGATTTATGTCAGAATTATGTCAATTCAAATAAAACATCCAAAAAATTTTTTTGACCAAAGTACACCATAGAAAATCAATTTTCAATTTTGGACTAGGGGCGACCCTAGTCAAAATCAATTTTGTCGCTTTTTTCTTCGAGGGTTTATACAAATGGATTAAAACTTTGCATAAATATTTAAGTGCTTAAAACAAATATAAATAAAACATCTTAAAATGTTTTTGAGCAAAGAACCAAGTAGGAAATACATTTTCAATTTTGGACTAGGGGCGACCCTAGTCAAAATCAATTTGTCACTTTTTTCTTCCAGGGTTTATTCAAATGGATTGAAACTTTAAATAAATATTCTAGTGCTTAAAACAAATACAAATAAAACATCTTAAAATGTTTTTGAGCAAAGAACCAAGTAGGAAATACATTTTCAATTTTGGACTAGGGGCGACCCTAGTCAAAATCAATTTTGTCGCTTTTTTCTTCGAGGGTTTATACAAATGGATTAAAACTTTGCATAAATATTTTAGTGCTTAAAACAAATACAAATAAAACATCCTAAAATTTTTTAGAGCAAAGAAACAAGCAGGAAATACATTTTCAATTTTGGACTAGGGGCGATCCTAGTGAAAATCAATTTTCTCACTTTTTTCTTCGAGGGTTTATCCAAATGGATTGAAACTTTGCATAAATATTCAAGTGTTTAAAACAAATACAAATAAAACATCCTAAAATTTTTTTGAGCAGAGAACCAAGTAGGAAATACATTTTCAATTATGAACTTGGGACAAGTACAGTCAAAATCAAGTTTTTCATTTTTTTTCGAAGGTTTATCGAAATGGATTGAAACTTTGCAAAATATTCTAGTGCTTAAAACAAATAAAAATAAAATATCCTAAAATTTTTTGAGCATAGAACCAAGTAGGAAATACATTTTCAATTATGAACTTGGGACAGGTCTAGTCAAAATCTAGTTTTTCACTTTTTTTTCTTCGAGGATAAATCTAAATACAGTAAAACTTTGTATAAGCATTCTAATCCTCAGGTCACACATTTCTGAATTAATAAAAATCATTTTTTTGGACAAAATTTTAAGTCACGTTGTTTTTGAATGAACAACCAAATTTATAAAATTTGGGTCTGACGACATATAGAATACATTTCTTCCTTTAGATATTTAAAACTGTTTTGTATAAATATTAGTAAACTCACTCAAAGTTTCACTGTAATTGGATAAACCTTCGAAGAAAAAAAGTGAAAAACTAGATTTTGACTAGACCTGTCCCAAGTTCATAATTGAAAATATATTTCCTACTTGGTTCTTTGCTCAAAAAAATTTTAGGATGATTTATTTGTATTTTCTTTTAGTCTTAGAATATTTATGCAAAGTTTCAATCCATTTGGATAAACCCTCGAAGAAAAAAGTGGCAAAATTGATTTTGACTAGGGTCACCACTAGTCCAAAATTGAAAATGTATTTCCTACTTGGTTCTTTGCTCAAAAAAATTTTAAGATGTTTTATTTGTATTTATTTTAAGCACTTGAATATTTATGCAAAGTTTCAATCCATTTGGATAAACCCTCGAAGAAAAAAGTGGTAAAATTGATTTTGACTAGGGTCGCCCCTAGTCCAAAATTGAAAATGTATTTCCTACTTGGTTCTTTGCTCAAAAAAATTTTAAGATGTTTTATTTGTATTTATTTTAAGCACTTGAATATTTATTTAAAGTTTCAATCCATTTGTATAAACCCTCGAAGAAAAAAGCGACAAAATTGATTTTGACTAGGGTCGCCCCTAGTCCAAAATTGAAAATGTATTTCCTACTTGGTTCTTTGCTCAAAAAAATTTTAGGATGTTTTATTTGTATTTGTTTTAAGCACTAGAATATTTATTCAAAGTTTCAATTCATTTGGATAAACCCTCGAAGAAAAAAGTGACAAAATTGATTTTGACTAGGGTCGCCCCTAGTCCAAAATTGAAATTGTATTTCCTACTTGGTTCTTTGCTCAAAAAATTTTTTGGATGTTTTATTTGTATTTGTTTTAAGCACTAGAATATTTATGCAAAGTTTCAATCCATTTGGATAAACCCTCGAAGAAAAAAAGTGACAAAATTGATTTTATTAGGGTCGCCCCTAGTCCAAAATTGAAAATGTATTTCCTTCTTGGTTCTTTGCTCAAAAAAATTTTAGTATGTTTTATTTGTATTTGTTTTAAGCACTAGAATATTTATGCAAAGTTTTAATCCATTTTTATAAACCCTCGAAGAAAAAAGTGACAAAATTGATTTTGACTAGGGTCGCCCCTAGTCCAAAATTGAAAATGTATTTCCTACTTGGTTCTTTGCTCAAAAAAATTTTTTTCATCCAAAGTTTAATTTAAAAAAAAATAAAAGTGAACTTTTAATTTGAAAAATTCGTAAGAAAGGAAAGTATTTTGCTTTTTCTGAAGCAAAGGCTGTTCCTACCTTGCCTAAAAACAATACAGCTTTTCTATAGAGCAGCACGGATCAAATGTAAAAAACTAGACGTCTCTACAATGTCTCGTTATTGAGATTTCTTGCTGATTAGCTTGCTTGTTTGCTTGCTTACAGAAAGCATATTTTGCGATTTTCTCAGCAATGCCCCAACCAATTTGAAATCTGTTTTTTGCAAAAGATGTGAAATTCAAGGCACAAACTTTTCATCTCTGAACATTTTAAGCTATCTTGCTCAATATCCTCACAAAATTCAAAAAACTGATTTTTCAATCTGAACAAAAACAAAACATTCACACGTGAAAACGGTGTGAATATAATAAAAAAATGCAAAAAAATTCAAGAATATCCATACATTCAAAAAGTATATCCTGTTTATTGTTTAATTTCAGTTCTTTAAATAAAAACATTTTGATTCTCATCTTTTTATTTTTAAAACTCTATGCTGTATAAAGTTTACAAAAAATGGAGGAATGAATTGCTGATTTAATGGATGTTCCTTTGACGGTTGTAAACTCAGTCAGCTCAAACTGAGTTAAATCTTGAATCTTGCATTATTTCTTGAGGAAAAGGTTTGAAACAAATCAGCTTTATGTTCTTAATTTCATTTAAAGTTTATTCAAAGTAGTTCCTTCAGAAAAAATATCAATTTCTGTTCCAAAAATATATAAATAAAATGTGTGTTTACATTTAAGAATTGCAATTATGTCAAAGATTGCTATTAAAAAACGCACAAATTTCAACATTTTTTCGCACAAATTTTAAAATTTTCCGCACAAATTTCAACATTTGATCGAAAATGTCAAAAATCTCTTCCCATAAGCAGAATATCCTTCAAAAACATTATTAACTGAAAATTCCCACAATTATTGATCTTTTGAGCCCATTAGCAAATTTTCATAATCAGTCATTAGCAAGTTATTTGCAAATCAAATCTCCATGTGCAAAATCACACAAATTTCAACATGGGTTACCCTAAATCATAAATCAAAAATAAATCACTTGGGTAAAATGATTTAAATCAAAAATCATTGCAAAATGATTTTGATTTTGATTTATGATTTAAATTCCCACCCTGGTTATAAGCTCTCATAAAATATTTTTCTAATACAAATTGATTGGATTTTGTTTATTTTTTGAATTCTTTAGCTTCAAGCGAAATTTTCTGAATGTAACATAGTAACGAAATATGAAAAGTTTTGCAAAACTTTGTTATTTTCATGAGTGAGTTTTTCAATTTATTAAATTTGAGAAAATATATTATGAGTTTTGCATATTTGATGATGTATTCAAATATAATGAATGTATTGAATAATTATTTCCAATCGATTGAAACAAAATTTTCATTTAAGTTTTCTAGAACTAATATCCAGACAAAAAAAATTTTTTTAAGAGGAACAAAATTAGAAAGGTTCATATATTTTAACCAAAATGTAAAACTATTTATGATCAAGACCGCATCTGTTTCGATAAAACATTTACTGAAAAATTCTGTAACATTTTCACATTAAAACCATGATAATACTTTCAATAAAGATTAACACCATGAAAAGTAGACAGAAAATGTTCAGCACATAATCCTCAAAAATGTATGATAAAATCATAAAATTTAACGACTTAAGCCATTTTCATACGAAATATCATAATCATAGCTTTTATCACATAGCCACCATTAGATGTATAATATTTTATTAGGTTTCAGAGATAATATTTGACATCCGTTAATGGTGTATTATAAGTTTTACCACCATATGCTCAAAAAGAGATGCATCTTATCACATCACAACCATAGCATTTAGACAATTTTGTTTGTTCCAAAGTTCTTAAATTTTTATTGTTAATATCTCAACTGTAAATAATTAAAAGAAAAAAAAGAATATTGTTGACTTAACAGTTTATTCCAAATTATAAGTCTTTTTATCTAAACTAATTCCAAAATTCAAGCAATTATTTTATTGCCAAAAACTATGCATGTTAAATATAGTGAGCAAGAATCACATCATTCATCTCCATCAGTACTTCATTTAAACAATCGTACTAATTTGCCTTGTTCATCATAACCAAAAACAGGGTCCTTAATTGGCTCAACAGGTGAATATCTAGTGTTAAAAAATATTAAAAATTCATCAATCATTTCCTTTAAAAAGATAATCAGAAATATTTTACCGCAATTGTGCCGAAAATCCATTAATTTGACGGTCCTCTTCGTTTTGTCCAGTAGCATATCGTACTTTTTGTAGTGAACTGTCAGGTAATAAAATATAGTACTGTCCAACCTGACCTTGTTGCGTTGCAGAAATCTGTTTGGCATAAGCCTGAGCATTTGCTACGGCAATAACAGGCTGTTCGTCACTTTCGTCTGACGATTCTTCGCTGCTTTCATCATCATCATTCTTGTTGTTGTAAATGTTTTTATTTGGAAAGTTTTGCGGTTGTTCTGGTTCATTTCTCTGTGGAAATTCAGTCGTTACAGGTTGTTCTGCTTTTGGCGGTCCATATTCTTGTGGGGGCAATTGTTGGGCATCATTTTTAGGATTTCTTTGTTGGCCGAACTTTTGTTCATGCAATTGTTGATTTACTGAAGCAAATTGAGGTGCAAAAACTGGAGCAAGAAGAAGAGGCTGTGAATTTACTGCTAGTGGTGGTGCCATGATAATCCTTGCCTGTTGATTTAATGACTGACGTTTAAAATTTTCAAATTGTGAGAAAGAATTTGGATCAGGCAATTTTTGTACATTCAAAAAATTATTGTCATTGCTTGTTCTTGATTCTTTTGTTGGTGGTGGAAGATATTCATTGGTTAGTGTTGTTATTTCAATTGAATCAGGATCTTGTGGCACTCCATATTCACGAGATGGTGGTAATTCAAGTCTTGCACCTTGTGGTTTCCATCCTTTTGGAGGATATGGCGCTGGCTTTTCTGCTAAAACTGATCCTAATATGACACAAAAAAATACTAAAAACTTCATTTTAAGGCTTAGTTATTTCAACAACAATTGATAAAAACTAAATGACAATATTTTTAATTCCATCATTACTATTTATATGCGTTAAATTGATGTTAATGTCACTAAAAAACTCATAATTTGATATTCTGAATGCGTTTGTCAAAACAATGCTATTAATGGTCATTTTTCGTTGTGAGTATTGGCTTTAAGAATCAAAACAACAATCATTATTTACTGAAATTTTTGGAATTCCTTCAAGACGTTTCATATTCATTAAAAATAATTTTTGCTTTAAAAAAACTTAAAATCAATTTTTATGTCACGCTTTAATTACTTAAACATTATTTATTTAAGGTCGAAAGCAACATGATGAAAGAAATGATCATCAATTATATTCGTCATTAAGCGCATTCTTATCTCTTAAAAATCATCTGAAAATAATTTTTCTTTCCGCTTTGTTAAATCTTCCTTTAAAATCTTATTTTTAAAATCTTACCCAAAAACCCATATAAAATTGGAAACCTTCATTTCGCTTTCAAGTCTCATTCTTTACACATTACCTTGTATCAAATTATTGCCGATAACTACAAAACAATTTGTTGCAAACGTTAATCGATTTTCTTTTATTGTATTATTTCATACTGACAGCACCTTTTCATTGAATGAATTACATATACACACTGTTTTCATGGTGCATTTAATGTGCACTTTATTTATAAATGAAGTTCAACTGAGGAGATAAAAAAATTTAAAGATTTTGTAGTGTAAGAAGAAAAATATTTGAGAATTAAAAATTTCCGATTGATGTGATTTGTGAACAATCTTAATAACTTGACAAAATGCGTCTTAAAAATGTTATAAAAATTTCATGAGGTTGTTCTCATGAGCTGTTCAATTGAATATTCAATACAGTTCAATTGCATCAATATAATGCATGTTGATTTTATGCAACCACGTGCTCGTCATGATGATTGAATTTGAAATTGAGAGTTTGTTTTTGTTTGAAGTATCAACATATATATGTATGAATTATAGAGAAAAAGACTAGGGGAAAATCCACATATTTGAGGCAATCTGGTCAATAGACAAGGAGCACGACTAAGAATTCTTATATAAAAGAGAAGAAGAGAAATATGATGAAAAAAATTTGCACGCGCAAATCGTGATATGAAATATTAAGTAATTATGGTTTGAATTACTCATCAGTAAGCAAAAGCCACATTTATCATTGAGCGACTAGCTGACTCAATACTTTAGTTGCATAATTTAACATATTAGAAAAAAAACACCAGCAACAACAATGGAAATTAGCTGAAAACACTTTTTAACTTAAAGACGTGCTCAAGAATCGAAGCGTAAAACGTCAGTGAATGTGAAAATTTTTAATGACTTTTTGCGAAAAGAAACAAATCTTTACCAATTATCATCACATAGTGCACGCTTTTTAACAACCATGCTACTTTTCTTCTAGTTGAACTAATAGCGTTGCCATCGGCTACCATAATAGGTCATTGTCAGGTACAAATCGTTTTTTAATTCAATGTGAATCGACAGTTAAAAACTGTTATTATTCTATCGAACTGCATCGTGATATTATTTTGTAAGTTCTTTTTATTAAAGTTCTAAATGAAAGTAAATTACTAAGTAAACATAATTTGATTGATCCATAAAAGTTTTCTGTGTTTGGTTAAAATATGGACCGCATAAATTGCATCCGATAAAAGCTTATAATAAATTGAATTTAATTAAAAATGGAAATGAAAATATACTTGATGCCTTACTTAATGTATGCAAGATACTGGAAAGTTCAATTTATTCAGATTTTAATTTAATAAGAGGAAACGGAGTGAAACTTTTCGCGGAAGATGAAATTGATTTACATGAAATCCTTGCGAATATTAAAAATCACAGAAAATTGGTACGGATTAAACTTTTTAAATTTTTATGTCAACATTTTAATGAGAAAATTTCTCGCCTCAATAATCGGAGACGACTCTTCTCATTTTCATGAAAAGAAATTCAATTAACTTTATGATTTTATTGAAAGCTTGATCAGACGTAAGAAGAAGATTTTAAGATATTTTTGAGTAGTCGGCACTTTTTGAGCAAAAGTAGTTTGAATTTGAATGGAATTAAAACAATTTTGTAGAAAGTTTCAGTTTGTAGTAATACAACTTTTAATAAAGAATTTTTGATTTAATTCGAAACTTTTCACTCAAAGAAATATTACTGAAGGGTATCAAGGTTGTTAAAGGGGTGATAAAAATTTCAAATCACGAGCAGATGGAAGAAAATTAGGGATGAAATGATTGAATTATACATCAAATGGCCTCCGGTTGTTATTCTGTTTAGAAAAGTTGAGATCCAGACGTTGTATAATACAACAAAATTTAATTTTAAGAAAAATTTCTCATTGCGAAGTTTTATGTTGAATTATTTTGTTACGGAAAAGAAATTCCTACAATTTTCTAGATTTACAAGGATGTTCTATTAACAATATTTCCGCTATCATGGTCTGAGACATATTTTGTGGACATTTTTAATTTCCCGTTTCTGTGCATACTCATTTTTTATTTTTATGACATTATGCTGTAAATGTGGAACAACTAGGAACTTGGATAGAATTTTTATTATTTCATAACACTTGGGTTATAATACTGGCTTTCTTTCTTTCATTCTTGTTTATGACTGACATAAAATTCGGTCTGTTATGATTTTCTAAAAATAAATGAAATTACTTTCGATAAAATCTTAAAGAAGCTTAAAAGTTTCAAGCACGAATGATTTTAGTTTTATAGATTTTTTTATTCGGTATCAAACTGAAAAATTTTTAAAATTGTAAATCATTTAATACAAATAATATTTTGTCTTGTACAAAAAGCTTTGCATTTACAGTAATATTTATTATTTTTCTCTTTTTACATATATTTTAATTCATGGCTTCTTCATATTATGAGATTAATTAGATAGTTTATATTTACAAAATGAGGATATCTTAGAAATTTTGCAACAAAAGTTGACAGAATTCTTTATCTTTTTAGAGCGGAGAAGAAGGAGATAAAAGGAAAAAGGATAGGAAATGTCATTTTTTTGGCAACATAAAAAGTTTCATAAATTTGATACCTTAGAATACATTGTTAAATAATAAACAGCACAGTTAAATTGCAAAAAGGTTCAGAGGTCATTAAATATTAAATTAGAAATTTGTCAAAATACTTTCTGCACCTTTATGTTCTTGCAATTTAAGCTTGTTTTTTAATAATTAACATTTGTGTATCCTTTTTTTTCTCACAATGCCTTAAATATTAAAAGTAGTAAATGTATAAAAAAATTAACTGACTAAATTCATCATCATATCTCGAGGAGTATCCGTTAAATTTATATTTTTCTGCTTACAGAAAAACATTTTACATTGATTCGAATCATATACCATAATTAATTTTTGTTTGCGCTAAAATTTTCCGACTTCCTTTATTTAATATCCGCCAAAGCCTTGAGCATTGTTGTCATAACCGCTTTGTTGTGCATTGTTATTGTAACGACCTGTATCTTCGTATGTGATTGTTGGACGATATCCTAATTTTATAAATACGATTGTATATTGAACATAAGGGTAAATTGAATTAGTAATCTGATTAAGGGATTTATTACTTATTTTTCCTTACCATTTTCGTCAGCGATATATTGAACAATCTGTACATACATCACATCACATCACATTATATCGAATTGAACACATGAAAAAGGAGAAGAAGGAGATAGAAAGAGGATTATTGGATAAACTCATGTAAGTTCCGTTTTGTAACTTAATACCTGTTTGCGACCATCGGGAAGGAGAACGTAGTATTTTCCAGTTGCAACGCTTCCTTCACGTTGTTCCTTGTGTCCGAAATCGAGTCCAGCAATTTCATCTTGAACATCATATTGGAATTCGTATTTGGCTGGTTCTTCATATCCTCCATTCGCATATCCACCTGCTGAAGGCCCGTTTGAATATCCAGCATTGTTGTATGATGATGAGGAATCAGCAGCTGATGGAGCACCATATTGGCTTGATGGAGCTTGTTGATAGCTGTTGGCACGTTGGTTGTCAAAGTTGTTGAAATCCTGAGCTGATGGGGCACCATAATTTGTCGATGGAGCTGATGGGGCACCATAGTTTGTCGATGGGGCTGATGGGGCTCCATAGTTTGTTGAAGGAGCTGAAGCAGCTACAGCAGATGGTGGTCCATAATTTGTTCGTGGGGCAAATCCACGGTTAGTTGATTGTGATTGTGACGGAGCACCATATTGGGTTTTTAGTGCGGCACCTCCTCTTCTTGCTTGTCCTCCAAAGTTTCCATTAAAGTTTCTCGATTGTGGTGGCAAGTATGAGCTTGGTGGTTCAGCAAGTGCCATTGCTAATAGGAGAGTTGATACAATTGCGAGCTAGTATTGCAAAAAATGGAAAAAAATAAAAATCTTTGAATAAATTCTCTCACAAATGCTATCAAAAGATTGTGAACGAGACATTTCCCACACTTAATTTCATTTATTTCTTTCTTTCTCATGTAATGTAACATGTATTATGTTAATGTCGCGACAAAAAGTTTTTCATTCGTTTACTTCAAATATTATTTCCCTGATTGCAAAACTTTTGTTTGTGCTTAATTTTTATTGCCATAGGTGCTTTTAAATTAAATTTCAACAGAAATTTACGTACATTAAAAAGTTTTACAAAATTAATTCTAATTTTATATTTGAAGAACGATGAAAATTCAAATTATGGCAAGAAGAACTTTTTTTTGATTTTCTTAGAATAAATTTTCTTTTTGCATGTCAATTTAGGTATTGGATTCCTCACATAACACGGATTGTTACCGCATTTTCCTTGGTTTGAAAGTTTCAAATATTTTTTTTGAACTGTTTTACAAAAAATTCAATTTAACGAAACTGAATTTCTGGTTCGACAGACCAGAAAACAAACAATGAACTAAGCTTAGCTTTATCTCAGTTTGAGAAAGTAATAAAATTAAATTATAGCTTCAGACTGCACTCCAGCAGTGTCATGTCAGAGTAAAATTATTATTCCATTCTCGAAAAAATCGTCTTTAATTGCACAATTTTCAATGAGTACTCTCGGATAATGAAAGTACTTTGCTGAATATTATATGTCTTAAAAAATTAACTTTTGCTCTCTATTGCAACCTCGTTAAGTATTTTTGCACTAAATGCACGTAATATAATCATCAATAATGTTTCTTCGCAGTTCTATAGATGCATATTATACTTCTTAACTTTCACACTTAAGACTTTATTACACAAATTTTCACGTTCAAAAGTATCAAATTTCTCATACCTTCATCATTTTTATTCTATTAAACTTTGTAAACTTTTTTATTTATCACAAAACTGATTCTTGCACTATGAATGCTTAAATAGCAAATGAATGGAGATGAGATTGAGAATAGAATGTAAAAAATTTAATTTGTTTTTTCAATTCTATTCAATAAAATTTTGTTATAGATTTGAATGCTTGATTGTTGATTTGTCGAATGAATAACTTTGCAGAGATACATCGTCTATTTATATAAATCGACCTGCAAAAAGTGAATCTGTATCTCCCGAGTCTGCTTGTAAAAATTGTTATTTTTATTTTTTTTAAGAGTAAATCACACTTGAGACTGTAAAAGCTACATGTTTTACAACAACAATTACTACAAAGTACAGAAAGGCACACAACGTTTTGAGAGAGAGAGAAGATTTTGAAAAGAAGAAGGAACATGAATCTCTGATGAGATCGCACATGGTTGCATTGAAGCTTTGTATGCTTTTTTAAGTCCACAAATAATTGTTTGCATGCATGAATAGAAAAAGAAAAAAAACTGGAACAATTAGTTTAATGTTTAAAGAGACCTTAGAATGTATATAAGGTATTACTCAAAAAAAAGTTTGGTCGAATTGCTATATATGGATAGCTAGGGTCATTAATATAAAGATTTTTATCAATAAAAAAAGAACAATAGATTAAGTACTGGAGATCAGTGAAGATGTCGAATTTGTTATGCATTTAAAGAAAATATTTGATTTTCTTCTGACTACGATCTACAAACTGCATGAAATTTAATATGTCTTTTCTTATGATGTAATCTGATCGATTAGCATGTTGTCACGTAAGAAAATAATAATTCAAAATAAGTAAATCTTATATTAACACTAAAACCATTGCAGCTAATTTCGTTATAAAATATGTGGTTAATTGAAATTAAAAAAACCATATAAAATTTACCTAAAGAGTAAAGTAGAGCTTAGTTATGATTTTTTATATTTGTAGATTTCATAAAATGAAGAAATTTTTTTTTTTTATTAATTTTAAATTCCTGTGAAAACCATCTTAATTATTCCAATCATCTAAGCATCATAAGCATAATAAAATGCAAATAACTCGCTAACACCTTAAAATTTTTCGAAGATTTCTTCTTCGTGTTTTTAGCGCAAAAAATCTAAACCTCACGAAAATCTCATCTAACAATCTAGTCATCACTCCAACAATGGAAATAAATCTTTTAAATTACGGTTGTGCTTAGAAATAAGAGCCGCTTACTCACAGAAACTGAAAATGTTCATTTTTTGGCATCATGCATATGCCAGAAAACATCAGGACAGACAGATCAATAAATATTATGAATTAAAACCTAACGAACATGTCGATGCTACTTATGTCCATCGATTGATGTGTTATTTATCTCATATATATTATTTTCACTAATGTTCATGTCATTTTGCGATATTTTGTCATGATTTCGCATTGCATTGATATTGCCTTTTAGCTGAAAACTTCCTTATAAAAAATATTCAATTTGAATATTTTGCAAAAAATTTCGCATCGCTTTTCATCTCACACTACATTCATGGTCACCGGATTTTTATGTAAATAGAGGAATTTTTTAAACAGCATAAATAAACATAAGCTAATAATAATAATTTTTCTTCTTCTTTGAAAGAAAATACCTTTTTGCATAATAACAATAATAATACTTCACAACTTCTTTACTTATTGCTTCAACAAAATATCTCAGAGGCCATAAATTGTGCAACAAGAACATTCGAAAAAATGTTCATTGTGACATGAAGTTTAAAGATCTTTTCTTAAAGATTGTTTATGACAGCAAGCGCATGGGATTTATTAATTTTTTTACCGTAGCATCAAAATAAATTTATGAGATGATGATGATTTCAATTTCTTTGTAACTTGCAATAAAGTATGATGATAAAAATGTCAGTAGAACTAATAGAATAGACAAGGAGTGAGAAATCGTAGCTACAGGAAACAGGAAGCAAAAATGTCAACTTAATATTAAGATTCAGTTCAATGAATGTTGAATTACTGAGTATGATGTTAAAAGACAGTTAAAAGACGACCCCCCAAGTTGAGTTGTCTTTCATATCTAATTCATTTAAAAATGAAGACAAAAATCCATTACACATTGTTTTAAATTTCAGAGTTAATTCTTAAATAAGAACGTAGCATCGTCATCCGCTTCTTTTAAAAAAATACTTTACAAAAAAAACTTTTTAAAAAAACTACGTTTTTCGCGTAGACTAAAAAGTAGAAAATAACTTTTATTCTTGGTTGTAAAGAATTTGGTTATAAATTTTCAGATTATATTTAATAAATTTTTATATCCTAGTCAATATTGTTCACAAAGTTTCGAATAAGTGCACTTTGATCTTAGCGTATAACTCAACAACTTAAAAACGTGGGCGCATTATAAGAGGAAAAGTAAGTTTATGTGAAATCAATACTTCATGATAAACTTAAATTAATGCGCCCACGTTTTTAAGTTGTTGAGTTATACGCTAAGATCAAAGTGCACTTATTCGAAACTTTGTGAACAATATTGACTAGGATATAAAAATTTATTAAATATAATCTGAAAATTTATAACCAAATTCTTTACAACCAAGAATAAAAGTTATTTTCTACTTTTTAGTCTACGCGAAAAACGTAGTTTTTTAAAAAGTTTTTTTTATAAAGTATTTTATTTTCTACTTTTTAGTCTTATTCTAATGAAATAGAGAAATAAAGATTATAGGGGGTTTATAGGTTACAGGTGTGTTGAACTTCACTTCGTTGCACTGCGTTACGTTCAACTGTTTATAAATTACCAGTTTTCAATGGGAAATTAGTAACGACTTTCAAAATTTTTCATTCGTTTTATAAAATTTAATTTTTTTAAAGCATTCATTAGTAAAGTACATTGAAAATCACTCGTAAAGATTTTGTGTTTATCTGTACCATTTCTACTTCATAACGTGTGGATTCTTAACATAAAGATGCAAATCACATATGTAACGTATTTATAACGGATTTTCAAATTTAAATTCAATGAATATCATTTATATGTTATGCAAAAATACGTCAAGCCGTTAATAAAAAGAAAAGTCAATTTAATTAAGTTGGTGAAGTGTTATACATTTAAAACAGCATAAATTTATGCTCAAACTATGTGTGCTAAATGCACATTGCATATTAATAGTTATTTTGCATTAATTCGTAACGGACTTGAGCTTAACGGTTTTTTTGAAAATTCAAATTTTCACTTACGAATATTCATGAAAAAAATACTTGTCAATTTTTTTTGTCCTACCAGAATATCTTTAGCTGCTCAAATTTATAGTATAATTAATAATTAGTAATATTATTTAAACTATAATGAATCATATAAATGACTTTAGAGCATCACAAGTATAATATTTAATACAAATCAAAATTTTATATCATTGACATTGGATTTTTTCCCATATAAAAAAGTTTTACATAAATTGTACTATAATTAAACATTTTTGTGTTTCCAAAGTATTAAAATATTATATTGTCACCGGGAATACGTGTGCATTAAAAATTTGAGCTCGATTGGAGCAGTAGAAGTGGTCGAAAAATCGATTACAAGATTTGCCCTCGACAATCAAACAGATAAGAAAGCAAGTTAAGAAAAACGTAGTAAAATCGCTCAATAAGTAAATGAGATGAGTTGGAAAATTTGCATTAATAGGAAATTTATTTCATAAAAGAGATTACTAAATGAGCTTTTAAGAATTTTGAATTTCAGATTTCGACGGAAATATACATAATTAAAAAAGTTTTTCGTAAATTTATTCAAATATCCTTGCTAAATTCAATTAAGATATGCTCCTGTAATATTAAACAGAACAAAACCCGAGTCGCGCAGTTAATAACAATGTTTAAAAGATTTTTTTACACTTTTTCATGTAGATAAGAATCAAGCATTGAATATTTGATTTGTTTTTATTCTCACTGAGCATTATAGCGTTTAATCAATAATGTTTCAGCTACTTAAGTTGATTGATGATTGAAATTCCTTCCGTTTTATGATTTTTAATTTTAGATTAAGATTTAAAAATACCGTGGAGCGAAAAAATTCATCAAAAGTTTTAAAGTCATTGAAATTCCTTTTTTCTTGGACAAGATCGAACTTAAAAATTGTTTAATTCATTGAAAGGTTTTATTAAACAAAAAAAGTTGTTAAATCAAGGACTGAAAGTTTTTGTTTTTTCAAAATTATTCTTTTTTATTTGAAGAACTTATTTTTCATTGTAAAAAGCACTTAGAATGCAGTTGAACTTGCAAATAAGAGAAAATGCGTTAGTAAAAGGTCGTTTAGCATCTTTAAACTTTTGCAACATTGTATCAAAGCTATTGTTACATTGGAATCAATTCAATCAGTTTTATGAATCTATTGTTTTTAAAATCTGTAGAACATTTAAATTTATGAAGTTATTCTAAGAAGAACATATTAGGAATGCCCGAACACTTTATTGAATATTTATTGTCTTCTTCATTAAAACAGCTGATTAATTTCTGCATAAACTCTGTAATTATTTTTGACGAAGAAACTGGAAGAAACCCAATCAATAATTAATTTTCCGATCCAAATCTTATTATTAAAAATAACAAATAATAAATTCAATTACGCATCACTATTGATAAGCATAATTTGAAATGATGATTCTACATCATAGCAGTATTATTATATGCTTGAAATGAAGCGTAAAGCTTCTTTATATTGGAATTCTAAATTGATTTATTACCATTGCTCCAAATGTGCTACACAAGCTCATTATATTGTTTCAAATGTAATAAATGTATCTCCTAGAAATATTTTGATAAGTATTATTATTACAAGGAACTCATATCCTTGTATGTTATTACCTTCGTCTAATTTTTTAGATGTGCATTAAACACTATATAAAACAAAAAATAATAATCACAAAAGTTCAATCACTCATAAGCAATAACACGCAGGATGGAAGACGAAAAATTTCTGCTAATGATATATTTTAAGAATATTGTGTACACATTTGTTACATTTTTTGTGCTGGTCATTTTTAGTCAACATTCAATTAAGGTATGATTTATAAGTATTCCTCATCTAATCTTGATGAAATAGCAGAAACTTTTTTTTTTAATATTCAACCTTTTATTGTAATTCATTTGGCATTTCTAATTTTTATTTTGAGCTGATTTACGAGTTTTCCTTCGACCCTTCGTAGAAGATGAACCTAAATATATCTGTAAAAATATTATTTCTATTTTGTGGCAATAATTTGATAATTAATACACTTTGAATGAGTTATGTTGCCTTTGTCG